ATTACTTCCATTTTGTTCATTCAAAGTGATAATTACTTAGTGTGGCATTCGGTTTTGTTTTCCAGTAGAATATTTTATTCTATATAATATATGTTATTCATGTATTAAGTTAACACGAACTATACTAGGCATATGATTTGTTATAACTAAGTATAATTTTATTCTAAATATGAATCAAAAATGGGTGTATGAATCAATATATAAATGAGTATTTCTTTGACTACAGTCGTTGTTGTTGTCGTCGTCGTCGTCGTGTTTTGGGGGTTAATAAATCATCACATCTACCGGTGTTTGTGTTCTTACTTTCATGTTGTGGGAATTGCAGTGGTTCCTCATCTTTTTTTACAATTATAAGTAATAAGCGATTCCGACATGATAAACAGTGATGACCAGATATAACAAATGGCGTTCAAAAAGAAGACATAACATACTCCTTATCAAAATGTCAAAATTTGTAATTCATTATTTCATAATATTACTGTTATTAAACAATAAGGTTTTAAGAGACGTTTTTTTTAAAAAAAAAAGTCGGACAGATTATTTTACTTCAGTATTACCCTTATAATAAAGTTTGTCAAATTAGTATGTCACTAGTTCAGAACTTATTACGTTTATCTTTACAAAAAAAGAGGAAACATTAATTATATATAAGACAATAAGACAAATATCAAAGACAACTGTAGTTCGTTAATATCAATTTCATCTACTGTCATAAAACCGTAAGTTAAACATTTTATTTTACCGCAATCAAAAATCTTATATAAGTTTCACTATAATACTTTAAGAAATTACTTAAAAGTCTATAACTAGATAATGTTATTTGATAATGTTATATCTCGACGAGAATTATGAATGGTAATTTTTGAGAACTATTTGTGGACCAATACGATATATATATAAGTAACTAAACTATACATATTCGTGTACCTCTTATCATAAGCTTTATTTTGAACTATGAACTATTAATAAACAATTTACCATTATTGAGTTCTGCCCAGTCTATCAATTACTATCTCCCACATTCACAACCACGTTTGACTAAATTCGTACAAATGTTATTTTTTATTTTATGGTACGATATGGTCTGTTTGGTTTGTATATAAACCCAGTATATTTGAAATAAATGATTCATATCACAGAGGCTGAGATTAGTGTTCTGGATTTAACAAGCAGGGCTAGGCAGGAAGCATGACCGATAAGGATTCTAGACTGCTTTTACAGATTTACGCGTGATTGATCCAGTCGATAAATCACTATTCTCTAATTGGCGATATCATTATGTTATATATTAAGAGGACATAAGGCTACAAGATATAACAAATAAGGATATTACATAATTATCTATCAAAAATTTATTACATGCTACTTTTTAAACATTCATTTAACGTATTCATTAAATTAATAGAGATTTTTTTACTTAGGAACTTAGTGAAATTTGTATAGATTAAAGTTCATTTTCATCAATGACCTAATAAATTAAACTATTCAAAAGTACAAAACAATGGACAATTGTTTTCTGTTATTGTAAGATAGTATTGTGCTCTTTATAAACTCCAATTGTTGATCAAGCTCAAAAACGCTCAATTTTGTAGAAACATAAAATCTTTAAATCACCGAATTTTTTTTGAGCCTATTTATTTTGTTTCATAAAGTATAACTGTATACATTCTCTTTGATATAAGTAGAACTTAAAGAGATCATTCATCGAAACACAATGAATTTCCTCTTTTTACTATCGGATAAATGAAACAAACATGTATTGATTAATAATTGAACGATATTTGTTTACACAATGTTATCAACTATTCCGAGTGGGGTTTTTTTCTTTTCTTGTCAAGTAATGATATAATCTATTATAAACGAGTAAGATATTCTCAAGTTCATAATATTTTGACTATTCATTCATTCAGATGATAAGAAAGAGGCAAAATCGTTTTTCTTTTATTTTTAAGGTGATAAGTGTCTATTCTAAAAGTTTGGAAACGTAATAATCTGTATGTTAGATTTATAAGACCATCAGGAGGGGTTTTGTGGAGATGTTAGTAATTTCAATAGTTGAAATCATGAGTCACTTGAAGCTAGACCACCATGGAAAACCTGGAATCACTGGATGGCCGTTTCGTTCGGTTGCAAGACTCCTCAGCAGTGCGCATCCACGATCCCGCCCCCCACGAGATTCGAACCCAGGACCTGCCAGTCTAGCGCCAGGTGCTTAACCATTAGACCACTGAGCTGGCCATCAACGGTGTTAATGTCTAACTTCAACCAATCCACGAAATTTCACCACTGTCACCATTGTCTTCAGTAAGCGGAGGGCGGGATCGTGGATGAGCGCTGCTGAGGAGTCCCATACTAGGACGAAACGGCCGTCCAGTGCTTCCAGGTTTTCCACGGTGGTCTAGCTTCAATTAACTCGTGATTTCAACTAGTGAATTTATAAGGCTAGTTAACAAATGAGAAGTATTTATTAGTTTCTTAACATTGATATGGATAGTACGAAATTCATTTATTTTAAATAAAGAAATTTATTTAATATCATAATATTTTTCCATTACAGGAAAAATGGAAGGACTATGTAATGTTTACTGAAGATTTATTAAAAGCAGTTATGAAAATAATTTGACGAAAAAGATAACTATTACATAAAAATATAAGTTACTAGAAGATTCTTTTTTTCATTTTTTTAAAATTTTTTTAAAAACCTGTATTCATTGACAGAAACTAATGAGTGAAATAAGAATAGATACATAAAACACTTTTAATGAATTCACGTTAATCTAGTTAAGAATTTTTAAGATTATTGATGTATATCAAAAGATTACAATCTTTACATTTACATATTGATTTACTTACTTACTTACTTACGCCTGTTACTCCCAATGGAGCATAGGTCGCCGACCAGCATTCTCCAACCCACTCTGTCCTGGGCCTTCTTTTCTAGTTCCATCCAATTCTTGTTCATTTTTCTCATGTCTATCTCCATTTCTCGGCGTAATGTGTTCTTTGGTCTTCCTCTTTTCCTTTGGCCTTGAGGATTCCATGTGAGAGCTTGTCTTGTGACGCAGTTGGGTGCTTTCCTCAATGTGTGTCCTATCCACTTCCAGCGCTTCTTCCTGATTTCTTCCTCCACTGGGATCTGGTTTGTTCTCTCCCACAATAGGTTGTCGCTATTAGTGTCTGGCCGGCAGATCCGAGGTATTTTGCGTAGGCAACTGTTAATAAACACTTGTATTTTCTGGATGATGGCTTTTGTAGTTCTCCAGGTTTCTGCCCCATACAGTAGAACTGTCTTGAAATTTGTATTGAAAATCCTGACCTTGGTGTTGGTTGACAGTTGCTTTGAGTTCCAGATGTTCTTCAGTTGTAAATATGCTGCTCTTGCTATGCCGATCCGCGCCTTCACATCTGCATCAGATCCACCCTGTTCATCAATGATGCTGCCCAAATATGTAAAGGTTTTTACATCTTCCAAATCTTCTCCGTCAATTGTGATTGGATTGGTGCATGCTGTGTTGTATCGGAGAATCCTGCTTTCCCCTTCGTGTATATTGAGACTTACTGCTGCTGAGGCTGCTGCCACACTGTTTGTCTTCTCCTGCATCTGTTGTTGCGTTTGGGATAGAAGGGCCAGATCATCTGCGAAGTCTAGATCATCCAACTGCATCTTAGACGTCCATTGTATCCCGCGCTTTCCTTCAGACGTTGACGTCTCCATGATCCAGTCGATCACCAGGAGAAAGAGAAAGGGTGAGAGTAAGCAACCTTGCCTAACACCGGTCTTCACTTTGACCGACTTTGTCAACTGTCCTCCATGCACGATTTTGCAGTTTAATCCACCGTAGTGCCGAAGAAGCCTCCATAGTGTTGTCCTGTCCACGCTATCAAACGCTTTTTCATGGAAAAAGAAGTTGATGTAGAGTGATGAATTCCATTCAACTGATTGTTCCACAATGATCCATAGTGTTGCGATTTGGACTGTACACAACTCCGCCTGGAGCCCCTCCGGGGCTACTGTCGGTCCAAAGCCTGGATAAAGGAGGAGCATTTGGCATGCGGTTAGCAATCCCATCCCATAGAGTACTAACTCGCCAAAAAACGCTAACCACTAGGTTTATTCAAATAAATGATTTTGAACTATTGAATATTAGACGAAGAAATTGGATTAAGAACTTTTTTAGTAAAAAGTTATAAATGTGACAAAACAAACAAACATTAACTATTGTTTTCTTCCCTGATATACATATCAAAAGATCTTGTTAACCAAGAAGATTAACTAACACTAATACATTAAGGTAGATTTGTCATTAATAATAATGTTTTATTGACAGAATAAAAGTAGTTTGTAGATGAGATAATGAATGCATTGATATTCATGAAACAAAAAAGTTTATATTTAGAACAGAAATTTACTTTTGAGCCAAAAATATTGAAACAATACTAGTATAGAAAGTTTATACTTTTAACTTATTCGGCGAGACTATAATTTATGGACAAACCAAACAGATATAAGATAAGAGGTCTCAGATTTTGGCGCGAAATTCATTCATTCACTTGGCCAAATGAATTTTTGTATTATAGTTTATGTCAGTTCGTGATGAAAATCCAAAATCTAATTCCTAACCATAACCATCAACTGTAAATCATAATTTTAATACCTTACACTGGTTTATAACCCTCATTTGGTCCTAGTTATTAGAACACTCAAGGTCACTCTGGCGTCGTTCAAAGGTCGTCTATAAATTATAGTCTCAACACATTCTCCTAAATTAGATTTTTTAAAGTTAAAATAAGATTGTAACTTGGTATACTATGGTAAAATGAACTTGAATAATCTAAAATAAAACTTGAAAACTAATTTAAATGACAATGAGATAATTTTAGAATATAACCCGCAGAAACTTCGAATCACTAGAAACTAAAATTTATATATTTTAAAATAATCGAAAATTATCATGATTATTATATTTATACAAATAATGAGTTAGTACCAACTTACTTACTTACGCCTGTTACCCCTCGTAAAAGAGCATGGTTTGTCCACTAGCATTTTCCATCCAACTCTGTGAAGGACAGTCCATTCCAGTTGCTAATCATTTTTTCATGTCTGCTTTCAATTCCTCAAGCAATGTATTCTTCGGTCTTTGGTGATTTTCTAAATATGTTTCCTATACACTTTTATCATCTTTTCCTATTTTCCACTTCAGTTGGAATGAGAAACATTAAAAAAAAGAAGATACTAAGTCAATATATTTATTTAAAAATGTTCTGGACTATTAATCGATAGAAATAGCTTTCGCATCAGTTTAAGTTTTTTTTCCTGTTATTCAGTGAATTATATTTAAGGGTCCCCAGTGTATAAAAATCATATCCAGATCTAACATACAGTTCGGTATTAAACAACTGTTTTCTTCTTCTTGAATTTTTCATAATTTACAAAGAATATCAAGTAACACATAGATTCAATAATTCTGTTAATCATAGAATATTGAACTTTTTCTAAATGTTTACAAATTTTTAGATTATTAAAAAAAGAGGAAAACAAAATAATGAACAATTCTATTGAATTAATTGTTGATTGAAATCATGAACCGATTGATGTTAGACCATGATTGAAATCCTGGAAGCACTGGACGGCCGTTTCGTTTTATTCCGTGTCGGGTAGAGACAGATGTCTACTTCAGTATAGTGGAAGGTGCTGGCGAAATTTCGTGAATCGGTTGATGTTAGACATTAACACCATTGTATGTCGGCTCAGTGGTCTAAAGTTTAGGCGTTCGCCCACGAGGCCCTGGGTTCAAATCCCGCGAGCAAGATCGTGGATGCACACGGCTGAGGAGTTCCTCAATAGGATCAAACGACCGTCCAGTGTTTCCAAGTTTCCAACAGTAGTCTAACATTAATCGGTTCATGATCTCAATGAATAACTTAGTGATCTTCACAACCTCATACTGATAAATTAATTCTAGCAATAACTAAACGATCATTTCAAAAATAAAATTTGAAAAAAACGTTTTTTGAATCATAATTATTTTTTCTGTCAGTTTACATAAATATCAAATAACAAACAAATAAAAAAAACAAAAAACACAATTCATAATAGATTATACAATTTTTATTCATTATTTCATGGGCTTCGAAAACTATCAGATAAAAGAGGGTTTTGAAAATGGTCATTTATTTATTTGTTTTCTTTTGGGGGGGGGGGTAGGGTAATATGAATATGACAAAAATATGAATAAAATCCAGTGATTAATGAGAAAAAAATCTTGTTTCACCGTTAAAAAAAAATTCCTATTGTTATTTAACCAAAAATTATTTGTACTACATACTTAGGAATAATAGAAATATAATGTTCATTAGAAAAAATAGATTTCATGAATGATTAAACAATTCGATTGATTTAAGAAAGAATACACTAATGTTAAGAATGTTAAAACTTTGCTTACTTAATATGTTGTAAATAAAAGTATGTAATACAGTTTAAATTTTAATAGAAAGTTTGGTAAAAGGATAAATATATTGACAAGTTAATTATAATTAAGGAAATGAATATAAGATTTTTGGGGAAATTCTAAAATAAATGACTTTTGTATTATATTATAGTAATGAAGGACTGATCCTTTACATTAAAAAGTGATGATAATTTAACCAATTGATATGTTTAGTATTATTCGTATAGATTGTACTTGATACTAAAATAAATAGCGTCACTAAATCTAGACCCCAATCATTTATTCTAAATTTGATACATTCTTTACAACCGTAAATCTTTAATCTCAATTTATTAATTCTTTTCACGAAAAATTTAGGACAATCTAAGACTATTTCGTACAAGCGTTTGGGTCAATGAGCGATCTAAATACAAAGGCAGGAATTCCTATTACATGATATTTTCGATTTACAGACAGAGAAGTAAAACTATAATATGCTGACATCCTTGAGCAGCTTGTCAGCCAGTCTGAAAACACTACCTAGTTGTAAAACAATAAACAATGCAAAGTAGTGGAATAACAGCTTGGATCCAAATAATTAACTCACACATGTCAATTTATCCATTGTAGAAGAAAAGGGTCAATTTCACATATATGTTAGGAGTCGGGCTAGTGTTGTGAGTTAGAGTAATCACCTCGTAGGACTTTCGTCACCGACTAGCATCAATTCTAATCCCAAAAGGTTAGGGTCAAATATTTTGTATTAAACTGAAGTTTTGAGCTAGTTTTACAAATTTGGATCAAGGTTTCCAGCACGAACTGATATCAGCTATAATACAACGCTTCACCACCTTTTTGTTGACGAACTTCAGTAATTCAGGATTGACATTCACTGTAAGCATAAAAATGAGAGAACATCATTTAGCTTCACTAAACACTTGATTACGCAATGAACGACATGAAGTAATTAAATACACAGTCTGCATTAGGAGCAGGTATGTTGTGTAATTTATGTCAAGCTCCACTTAAAATTTACTTTTTGATTGCAAAATAGATGTGTTTATTGACTTCAAGCATTTAACGAACCAAATATTGCCAATTTTCATTTAGTGAATAACAACGTACATTATCACAGTACTTTGGATTTCGTGCAATACACAAAAGGCATTATCTTAATTGTGTTTGATCAACTCTAGGCTATCAGTATATTATGCTCTTACCGGGAAAGACCTTCAAAAGTTTTGTTAAGTTTGTTACGTAAAGTCTGTTTGCACTGGACGATATAAATCTCTTTTCCACAAATTATTTACTTCCAAAAGTTTTTTTTCATTAGATAAAAACTGGCTAAAAATTAATAGTTATTATTTCAAGCTTCTTTCTATATCATACACTTTATGGTAGAGTTTTGCTCTCTAATCTACATGGTTTATTCGTGTAGACTTCATTATTCTTCTGAACTGTAACATGAGCACAAACTTTAGCTAGAATAGATATATTCGAATTTCTCCACATATGACTAATAGGTCATCCTTTCTAATTCTTCAAAAGACTATAAAAGTGATGACTATATATGTATCACATTAATAACCATTTTCAAGAAGACAGTTTTACAGATTTTTGAGTAAATAAGGATGACATTACTGCGAACTGCATAGAAATTACTTCTAAGGCATAAAGATGTGTGACTAAATTTAGATATGATCACTGTGTCATAGTCTACTAACGTCACCATGTCACTACATTAGCAGTTGTATACAAACAATGTAGAATCAATATACAGGAGATAAAAAGTATTTTACGGCCTCAAAAAGTATTCGAAAGCAAACGGATGTCCAGTTGCTTAACTGAGTTTCTATACCAAACATATGTTGATGAATTATATGCACTAAATAATCCATAAACATTGAGAAAGCGCTGTAAAAATCCTGTTTCATTAGCAATAAACTCTTATTTGGTCCATATGTAAATAAAAGTTTCCATGTCATTTTGACAGTAGTTTGTTTTTTCAGTGGAAGATTTATCGTAACTTTCGTGTTTTATTTTAGATTAATATCTAGTACGTTCTAAATAAACTCCGCCTGGAGTCCCTCCGGGGGCTACTGCCGGTCCCAAGCCCGGATAAAGGAGGAGGGTTGGGCATGGGGTTAGCGTCCCCATGCCATAGAAAACTAACTCACTAAAAAAACGCTAACCAGAAGAAATTATTCAAACCTTTTAAACTCTGCCCTGGGAGTCAGAAGGTCTTCATTTAGAAGAATTATGACGCCTCATGATGAAAGACGAATTCCTTCGGAAGTTACGAGGCCGATGCCCCTTCTGACAACCAGAGCAACCATTTATTTAAGTACATGGAATGTTCGTACAATGTAGGACATCAGAAGAGCCTTCCAAATTGCTGCAGAAATGAGAAGATACAACCTAGAGGTACTTGGGATCAGTGAAACACATTGGACGCAAGTTGGACAACAACGACCAACTTCGGGAGAGCTCCTGTTATACTCCGACCATGAAGAAGAAAACGCACCACATACACAAGGAGTCACATTGATGCTGTCCAAACAAGCACAAAATGCACTTATAGGATGGGAATCTCATGGACCAAGGATCATCAAAGCCTCCTTCAAAACAAAGAAAGAGGGCATTTCAATGAACATCATCCAATGCTATGCGCCTACCAACGACTACAATGAAGACGCTAAAGATCAATTCTACAATAGGCTGCAGTCAATCGTCGAGAAGTGCCCAACAAAGGACCTGACCATTCTGATGGGAGATTTCAATGCCAAGGTTGGAGTGGACAACACTGGATATGAAGACATCATGGAACGACACGGACTGGGAGAAAGAAACGAAAATGGTGAGAGATTTGCAAATCTATGTGCCTTCAATAAGCTGGTCACAGGCGGCACCATATTCCCACATAAACGCATACACAAAACCACATGGACTTCACCGGATCACTCTACACAAAACCAAATCGACCATATTTGCATCAACAAAACGTTCAGGAGGACTATAGAGGACGTGAGAACCAAGAGAGGAGTTGCTATAGCATCAGATCATCACTTACTGGTCGCCAAGATGAAATCGAAACTCAAGAAGCACTGGACAACGGGGCAGACAGTATCACAAAAGTTCAATACGGCCTTTCTCCAGGATACTAACAAACTCAACAAATTCAAGATAGTCCTCAGCAACAAGTTCCAGGCCTTTCATGATCTACTCAATGGAGATGGAACTACTGTGGAGAGCAACTGGAAGGGGATCAAAGAGGCAATCACCTCAACATGTCATGAGGTCCTGGGTCACAAGAAGCACCACCACAAGGAATGGATCACTGTTGGTACACTGGATAAGATTCAAGAAAGGAGGAACAAGAAGGCAGCGATCAATACCAGCCGAACAAGAGCAGAAAAAGCCAAGGCACAAGCTGAATACACGGAAATAAACAAACAAGTGAAGAGGAGCATCAGAACCGACAAACGTAAATATGTGGAAGATTTAGCAACGACGGCGGAAAAGGCTTCAAGAGAAGGAAACATGAGACAATTGTATGACACGACAAAGAAACTCTCTGGAAATCGCCGCAAACCAGAACGACCAGTGAAAAGCAAGGAAGGCGAGGTAATCACCAACATTGAAGAGCAACAAAACAGGTGGGTAGAACACTTCAATGAACTCTTGAATCGACCAGCTCCACTGAACCCACCCAACATCGAAGCAGCACCCACGGACCTCCCAATCAATGTTGGCCCACCAACAATTGAA